ATTTTCCAATTTACATTCGGACCATCCATACTAATTTGCAATAATTTTTCCAACCCTACTCTGTGAAGAACCTTATTCAGTTCTTCCTTGAGGTTGAAAGGAAGACTAACCACACAAAAGGAACAAATTTTTGTCACTGAAGTGAAGCACCAGACAGTACGACTAATTGAAGAAAGATTTTATTAATTTATACCCTAAAACAGTTATGAAGCACCTGAATATTTTGAAAATATTTTGTGTTATTAGACATATACAGAAGTAGCAAATTAATGTTTTGTAGGGCAGTAAATGTAGTTTTAAATATGAATTCATTAATTACTTTACACAGACTTGTAAACTGAAATATCCCCCCTAAACAACACTGTGTGACTTATTTATATGAACTTTAAATAATGATAAATTACCAGCTTAAAATAATTGGAGCATGTCAAAACAACAGAAGCAAACAATATTTATTGCCTTCCTAGGCATTGTTTGCAAAATGGTGTAGAGCTAAACAATATTTATTGCCTTCCTAGGCACTGTTTGCAAAACAGTGTAGAGCTAAACAATATTTATTGCCTTCCTAGGCACTGTTTGCAAAACAGTGTAGAGCTAAACAATATTTATTGCCTTTTTTGATTCCTTTCTTGGCAGTAGAACTATCATCCTAAGTAATAGAATTTTGACACATAAAAATATACTTTTTTGTATGAATATTGTCCTAATTTGTTTTGTAATCATTTATATATAAAGTTGACACCTACCTTACACAGATATTTTCTACAGAGACTAAAAAAACATACATGCATGTAAGACTTTTTAAATGTCAACTTCGTCTTAACTCCACTATACCTGTAGGATGTCCAGAATGCTCTCAGGGTGAAGACTTCCTGAACCCGTTTTACGTACTGCTGTAAGTGATCCACTTTCTGTTACGGCAACTGACAGGTGACCAATGCTACAAGCTTGTTCTTCTTTAGTAGCATCAACTACAAACTGGTGGCCAACCTATAATGCAACGAGGAAGCTGCTGTGACATTTATTATCACATATGTACACTTAATAAAATTAGCAAAATATTCCATGATTTTTTATCTCGCATTATATTATCTAACAGCCATAAAACATTACTGCAATATATGCCAAAAATGTGCATAACTAAAATAATTTCCACTGGGGGGGAAGGGGAATAGCTCAATATATGTGTGTGTCTATGTTGACAATTCAGAAATTGTAGTGCACACTTAACACGTCAAGACATATCCCTAATGACGTAGCTTCCCTTATATTACAAACCAAAGATTGCAGCTTTCAGAGTGTGGTATTCAATATCTTACACTAACCAATTTTCTAATGCCCCACCCTGTCCTCATTTCATGTTTAGAAATATCTCAGAATCCAAATGCTACTCTACAAGTTATACATGGCATCCTGGTGAGATAACATGTTGATTTTATGAAAATTCACTTTCTTTATTCAGGTAAAAAATTACAGTAATCTTGCACTAAATAAAATTATCTGGAAAACAGTGTTCCCACCAAGATTGAAGTAAAAAAACATGACTGTGGTCAATATGTGGTAGGAAAAGAGGTTGTTGTCAGGGTATGAAGTTGTCTGAAAAGTCTGGAACCATAGGTGATTTGAAGCTTTTCTTAGTTTCAGATACGTGACTGAGTACGGTGCTTTTAAAGCATGAGAAGGTTGGGTTAATTCTGCTGTGGGGTAGAAAAGGTTTGTCCCAGTGTAAGGTTGCTGCCGAATTTAATGCATGTCATTCAGAGAGAGAGAAACATCACTTACGGTGCTGTTGGGAAGTTGGTAGCTAAATTTAAGGAGACTGGCACTGTGGATGACACAAATATACTTTACAGCAAAGAGAATGGAAATACTGTCTAAAAACTTGTTTCAATTTATAAGGACAGCACGTATAACAAATTCTGTAAAATCTGTTGAAGTGCCTGTAGAAATAAAAAACTACCTTTAAGCATGACAATCTTCTAAAATATCAATACAACAAACACAGAGGCTTGAAAGAATACATAAAAGAAATGAACACATCAAACTAACAAAGAGAATTATGACATAAACCATAAGAAAATGATCTAAACTAACAGTTTATGTTTCAGATCATTTAAATTCCTGTAAACTAGACAATTTAACTTGACAAACACGCTCTTTATGTGATTAGATTGTTTCTTACAAGAGATGACCATTGCCTGAAGCATGATTACTAGTCCATTTCTACTGATTTAAGGAGAGCAAGTTCAAAGAGATAAATATGTACCTCCACAATGTCTAAAGCTGTTTATCCCAAAGCAGTACTCCAACAACAGGAAAAGCAGAGTCATGAAATGAAGGCTGATGAAAGACTAATTGTGAAGAAATTTTTATGCATTTAAAAGTTATCTTGTAAGAAGCCATTTCAAACAGAATCAGAATCAATTTGCCATCCACAGAGAAAAGAATACTGTTTCCAAAAATTGCAATTTTACCTTATAATGGCCACCTTCAACATCAATATATCATAAGAACAAAAAACTTTAAAAAAAAAAGAAATGTACGAGATCAAAACAATTTTCACCACCAAGTTAATCAATGGTTGGACACCAGTTTTTTGTACACTGTGGGAAGTAAACACCAAATGTTAAGAGAGTTTACAAGTCTGAAAACCTTCAGGAGCAAGAGGTTTATGATGAAGAAGTCCAATGAAAGGTAAAAGTAAGATCAGAAGTCCGTTTTAAAAAAGAAATTTGGAAGACAAATTTCAAAAGATCTGGACAAAACAGAATCCACAAGCATGCTAATATTCCAAAAGATATAATTCACAAGGATGAGAGAAAACCTTACAGATAAGAATACTTTGGTGAAAATGAACTAATTTTACATCAACAACCTGTAACTGAAAACACTCACAGGAATATAGCTAGAAGATAAAAAAAAGTCTTAAAAGCAAGAATCTTAAATCAGAAGCAATAAAACACTTGCTAACTAGGTTGGAAAGAGGAAGAGAAAAAGGATGGGACGTTTTTAGAATGAGCACAGAAGAGATCAGTTGCAACAAATTTATCAGAATGAAACAATTATGATAAAAGAATTTGACTGAGAACAAACAATTTACAGAGGCCACTCCCAAGTCAAAGAATCCAAACAACAAATTAAAACAAAAACATGCTGAGCTGGCCAAGGTGTCCACAAAAACATTCTGTATGGCTGTAATACCACATGAGCTTTGGAATGTATGACTGAAGTATTTATTATATACAACTATCATTTCAGCACTAAATCCTTGCATTTGTATTTCAAAACTTTAAATCCCACATACCCGAGTTAAAGTGACGATACATGGAACCTTAGACACTTCTAGATTATTTACATCATAGGGATCGTCAGACACTTCTATCTCAGAACTACCTTCTTCTGTAGTGTTCACTGTTACTGCTGGGATCCTAGTAAAAGATGAAAAAAATGTTTAGATGAAACTTCTCCATTTATTAGTTCAACAAGTTTATATGTAAAACAGGAAATTCAAAATACTCAACATATAAATATGTTCAGATATTCTAATACATCTGGTAGGATGATAGACAATGAGGTGCAATCCTTACAGATAGGAAGTTTTTCAAAGCAGTTTTAGAAAAAATGTTAAGTAGAATATAAAACCCACATAATGAGCAATGACATTTCAATCACTAAATCATTATTTGTTATGCTTGGTGTAATATCTGTACACTTTGTATGCCCTTACTTTGTGTTCATCAAAGCAGCTTTTACAGCCAGACTAACTGCGTCCAAGAGGCTACCACCACATTCAAGGATCTGTTCAGAAAATAAAGCCTTAGTGATAATTTCTTTAATAATTCACACTTTATTAATTAACAAATTGAAACACAAACCCCACTTAAACTAACTGTAAATATAATATCATAAAATCTTTATTCACCTTACATAGCTATAATTACTGTGCATTGCTATAAAATAAATCTTATCAAGATTACTTAATCTAGTTAAACTTATACAGCTTTAACACAAAAACTAAGATAAATGTCTTTCTCAGAGAGTAAAAATTAACGTTCACACTACAATATCTGTTCTGGCTAAACATCTTTTGAAATACTACAGTTCTAATGAGATACTTACCAATGTAACCATATCTTTACCAGGTTTCCCAAAAGGGATAAAATGGAAATGGTTAAAGTGAATAAAAAAACATATATTTTTCTCATTCTAAGTGATGTTTCATGCAGAGATGCCAGTGTAGACCAAAAAAGGTGACCTAAATATACAGTATTTTAAAATAATAATTTATCTATCCATCTATCTATATATATATATATATCCATTATCAAGGCTGAATGTTGTGTGAATTGTGATTACTGTTGGTGGATATTTATAGGTATGTGTAAGCAGGTGGTG